CGCCGCGCGAGCGCGAGGTGCTGGAGCTGTGCGCCAAGGGCTACAGCTACGAGGAGGTGGCGCCGATGCTGGGCGTGTCGCGCCACACGGTCACCACCTTCGTGAAGCGCATCTACCGCAAGCTGCAGGTGCATTCGCGCACCGAGGCGGTCTACGAGGCGCGGCGCATGGGGCTGCTGCGTGATTGAGAGGCTGCGGTGGCTGTGGCTGGCCTGCGGGCTGGCTGCAGCGGTCTCGGTACAGGCGGCCGAGCAGTTCTCGCAGCACTTCGAGCAGGCCGAGCACCAGACCGTGCCGCTGGACTGGGTGCATGCCTACCAGCCGCCGGAGCCCGGCCCCTGGCTGCCCGCGGCGTTGCCGGGCATGAAGCCGCGGTCGCTGGACGGCTCGCCCGAGCTGATGCGCCAGCGCACGATGAACTGGTACCGCCTGCGCTGGCAGGTGCCGGCCGGGCTGCCGACCGACACGCCGCTGGTGGTCTACGTGCCGCGCGTCGTCGCCGGGCCGGCGGAGCTGTGGCTGATGACACCGCTGGGCTGGCGGCAGGTGCTCGACAACCAGGCCAGCCTCTACGAGCAGTGGAACCGCCCGCTGTGGATCACGCTGCCGCCCGAGGCCCGGACGACGGGCCAGGGGGTGACTGTCGCGCTGGGCGTGCCCAGCCGCGAGGGCGGCTTCTATGCGCTGTCGACGGTCTGGATCGGCCCAGAGAAGGAACTGCGCCAGCGCCACGGGTGGCGCAGCGCGCTGCAGCAGAGCGTGCCCGAGGCGGCCAGCCTGGCGATGGGCGCGATGGGCCTGCTGTCCTTCGTCGTCTGGCTGGGCCGCCGCGCCGAACGCGGCTATCTCTACTTCGCCTTTGCCGCCGCGTGCTGGGTGCTGCGCAGCCTACACTTCTTCATCAACCAGCCCACGTCCGCAGCGGTGTCCGACTGGTTCTGGTGGATGACGGCCGCGTCGGTGGCCTGGCTGATGCTGGCGACCTATCTGTTCGCCTTTCGCTTCGACACCCGCCGGATGCCGCGGGTCGAGCGTGGCCTGGCCGTGTTCGTGCTCCTCGGCACGCTGCTGACCGTGCCCGGTCTGCTGCCCATCTCCCTGCTGGTGCAGCATGGCGTCAACCTCGTGGCGGCGCTGACGGTCACCGGCGTGCTGACCACGCTGGCCGTGCGCGGCGGCCGCCGTGAACTGCGTGTCATCGTCGTGGCCTTGTGGCTGTGCCTCGCGTTGGCCGTGCATGACTGGCTGCTGCTCGGTGTGCGCATCAGCCCCGAGTCCATCTACCTGCTGCCCTATGGCTCGCTGCTGCTGGTGGGCAGCTTTCTGTACGCCGCGCTGCGCCGTTTC